ATATGGCTATACGGTAAATTTCTTGGTGCTTAAATCACACGACCATTTTATTATATGTTCTAGTGATGATTCATTACACTCTATCACTACGATCCATGAACATTCAGACCAATCGAAGTCAAATAAGATCAGTAATAAATATTTGCAGCAACTATCCTTGCCGATATACACTAGTGAACCGAAAACTTTTGAAAAGCACCTTCGTGTAGTTAACTTCGCCCCGATAACATTGTCGCAAGAATCACATCTAAACGAAAATCATGCCATTTCCAATCTGTGAGTTCTATGGATGCTGTTTTTGAGTAAAAATAACTATTTCTTGAACTTCTTCTCTGCTCTTCAGGCATCGACTCAATTCGACATCTCGTCGTCAGATCGCCGAGCTTCAATTAAGAGTAATATTTAATGAACCAGAAAGTTCTTTGCCAGTCTATATTCGTAAAGCGACAAACATATTGGACAAAAATAAAGTATTTTCAGTCGATGAAATTTCTAAATTACTTAATACTCCAGTGTTCATTATCGAACGAATGATAAACGCTCTAAAAATCTTATCTACAAGTGAAGAATTAACAGAATTGAACAAGAATGCGGTGCAAAAATTTATACGAATTCTTAACAGTACGATTGATGTGCGAGCTCTTATTTTTTATACTATGTTCGATGGAAACAATGATCAATATGTAACTAGAGAAGAAGTAACTAGTTTCTATGAAAACTATTTGTCTGCTATAAAATCTTTCGACAAACAACTTTCACCAAATATTATTCAAGTAATTCTCCAAAGATATCATTTAGATCAAGTAAGTACATGTGAAATATGAGAAATAGAAGATGCTAGGTATTTTTTTTTCATTTCATCATTCTTAGAAATCTCAAATAGATTTTGAAGAATTCTATTCAATTATCACAAATGATGAAACTTTATTACAATCATTTTCTCAATTTACTCTTCATCCAACATGGTTTCATAATCAAGACACATCCATATCTCATCGAAATATTATTCAACGATTTTTTGCAAAACTATCTCGACCAGAGCAAATCTATGATGAGCAGAAGAAAAAATTGACACTAGACTATATCAAAGATAATCTTGCAAGAGTGATTATTATCATTCTTTATATTTTAATAAATTTAGGATTGTTATTATATGTTATTATCTATCAAGCCATAATAAATCAATCGCACGTATTGGAAATCTTTGCAAGAATTGGTGGTATGCTACTGAATTTCAATTGTTCACTCATCATCGTTCTTATGTTGAAACAAACAATTTTATTCATTCGTACAAATAAAATTCTTCGAAAAATATTACCTGTCGATGATCATATCGATTTTCACAAATTTGTCGGTCGATTTATAACTGTACTAGCCATATTTCATACAATCGCCCATATGGCAAATTTTGCCCGACTCACTAGTTAGTTATTTTTTTAATGTACAAAGAAACCTTGAACTATGACGATTTTTCATCCTTTTTAGACCGATACCCATGGAGCTATTACATGGTAAGATTGTGACAGACATTTTTATACCAATGACAAATGTTGTATCATCATGATGCATTTTGTGAAACTCATTATAATTTGATGGGTGTAAACTTGACATACAATAATCTTTTTCTCATGGTTGATAGACATGTCTCCTTCATAGACAATGCTCTATTAGAAATAATCCTGCTTAAATCGAGATTTTCTAATATCAGCTAGCTTCTTGTCCAAGAAAATAAGAAAAAAATGTTCCGAAAATAGACTTCTTTGATGCAGCATCCTGATTAGTTCGATTTTCGTACTTATAGTTTCTCTATTTCATTTCTGGCTTTTTTTCTCATCCCTACTATTAATGAAGAAATAGGTGGAAAAAATCCAAAACCTCGCTCACATTAAGCTCCAATAGTAAGCCGCATTGATGAAATTTTCTGATACTTTTTTTTTTAACGAGAATCATGTTTTTCTATGCTGATGTAATTACCAAACAATAGGCCATTTGAAGCTCTACGAAACGGAAATTGTTTAGATCCCCAGGACGAGGATTACGACAGTCGTAAACGATCGTATACGACGTCGTATCCGATCGTGTACGGTCGTATACGGTGTAAATTACGATCGTATACGACCGTATTTCGCCGTATTACTTGCCGCCAGAATTACGACCGTATACCGTCGTGTCGTATACGACGAAATACGACGTCTATACGACCACCGTAAATGATCGTACACGGTCGTATACAATGTCGTTTGTCATCGTATTCCACAGCACATTTTCGTACCTCCCCCTCTTTCTCACCTCCCCCTCCAACTACAATGGCTACAAGCTATTTGTATAAAAATGGGGTTGCCCAGTCTGACCGGATACCCCATTGATACTTTTTTTCTATTGTAAGGATAAAACATACTATTGTTCGGACCATATGAGAGAGGATCATAGATAACCTCTAGATTCGCCCGAACACTACCATGTTTTATCCTTACAACAGTAGAGAAACGGTGCCAGCTGATTTGTGAGCTCGTAACTTTTCTCTACTATTGTAAGGATAAAACATAGTATTGTTCGGGCCAATCTAGAGGTTATCTATGATCCTCTCTCATATGATCCGAACAATAGTATGTTATATCCTTATAATAGAAAAAAAATATCAATGGGGTATCCGGCCAGACTGGGCAACCCCAAATGTACATCATTTAATTTTTAACGCATTGATATTTACATTTGGAGAAGCTGTTCAATCGAACCTAAATAAAAAACAAAAATAATAATTTATATTTTAAATTCATACTTACATTTCGATCAGTTGTTGAGTCGGACTAAATAAAAAAAACAATCATTTATATTTTAATTTGATACTTATATTTTAATAAATTGTTGAATCAAACCTAAATGAGAAACAAATAACAATTTATATTTTAAATTCATACTTACATTTCAATAGATTGTTGAATCGCACCTAAATAAAAAAATAATCATTTATATTTTAAATTGATACTTACGTTTCGATAAATTGTCGAATTGAACCTAAATAAAAAAAAGAAAGAAAAATTTATCTTTTAAATTCATACTTACATTTTGATAAATTGTTGAATCGAATCTAAACGGAAAACAAATAATAATTGATATTTTAGATTTATACTTACATTTCGATCAGTTGTTGAATCGCACCTAAATAAAAAAACTAATAATTTATGTTTTAATTTGATACTTACATTTCAATAGATTGTTGAATTGAACCTAAATGAGAAACAAATAATAATGTATACTTTAAATTCATACTCACATTTCGATCAGCAGTTGAATCGCACATAAATAAAAAAAATAGTTCATATTTTAATTTGATACTTACATTTCAATAAATTGTTGAATTGAACCTAAATGAGAAACAAATAATAATTTATACTTTAAATTCACACTTACATTTCGATCAGCTGTTGAATCGTACATAAATAAAAAAAATAGTTTATATTTTAATTTGATACTTACATTTCGATAAATTGTTGAATGGAACCTAAATAAAAAATAATCATTTATATTTTAAATTGATACTTACGTTTCGGTAAATTGTCGAATTGAACCTAAATAAAAAAGAAAGAAAAATTTATGTTTTAAATTCATACTTACATTTTGATACATTATTGAATCGAACCTACATAAAAAAAATAATCATTTATATTTTAAATTGATACCTACATTGTGATAAGTTGTTGAATGGAACTTAAATAAATAAAAAAAATAATTTATATTTTAACGTGATAATCACATGTCGAAAAGCTGTTGGATCGAACCTAAATAAAAAAATAGTTCTGTTTAATGCTTTGAGTATCAGTTATGACGATTAATGAAAGGCTTTGGATTGGTGTCTTTTGGTGCAAAACTGAAAAAAGACAGATTGAAAAATCAAGCTAGAACTGAATATTAATGGCTTATACGGAAGCGAAAATAGTTAAATCAATGTACAATTTTCTCAATAGTTCGAAGAACACTTCTAACGCGTCGACTGGGGAGAATCTAACGAGGGAACATTCCCAAGTGTCAAATCGCTTTTGAGTCGAGAGTAAGAACATAAGGTAGACCCCAGTAAGATATGAAAAACCTCAAAATGATAGGTGCCCTTAGGTCTTCTGTCCAGAGTTATAGGCATTTTACTGAAATTTTAGCCTCTACCATTATAAATACCAATAAATCGAATAGTGGTATTTCGACCTAAGATTTTGCCCACAGATAGGTCTAGTTGTGAGTAGGATACCCTGAAAATTTCAGCTCAAAAGAATGTTTCCTTCCCGAAATATTAAAGTCTCAAAAAACAGAAAATTCTAGCATCTTCCGTGATATATGAGTGATTTTTGGAACTTTAATATCTCGAGAAGGAAACATTCTTTTGGGCTGAAATTTTCAGGGTATCCTACTCACAACTAGACTTATCTGTGGGCAAAATCTTAGGTCGAAATACCA